TCGATGTGAGTATTTGTGTACGTGATTTTCTTCTTCTTCTCGTTTTTGTTTGCCCCCGAATTGCTCCCAATGTAAACTTCTTCGAAATGCATCAGTCACAACCAATCACCAAGAGAGTTCTGATTGCCTTCGTCCCTGAAAGTGAAATGTTATGGAAATTCCCCAATGTTTCCTTATTCAGTGTGTGTAACTTCCTTCCGGTGTTTTTTTCTTTTTTTCTTTTTTTTGGTTCGTTTTTGTGTATGCACTATGTGTCAGGCAGAGATGTGGGTGTGTGTGTGTGTGCGAAGTTGATTATAATGTCATCACATATATTCTTAAGAAAAGTGAAAGTTTAAGCCAACTGCCCCCTGAGACTCACACAGCCTCTGTGATGGTGGTAACAGATACCAACAGCGTGTGGTCAGTCAGTTGGAAATATCACTGACTGTCTTGTAGATTATCACATCTTCGTGTTAGGGATAAGGGTATTTTATTGGGAAAAGAGGTAAAAATTAAAAAAACCTAGATATTAAACATTACCATCGTTCTCCGTTTTTTTTTTATAAAAACAACAATAATGGGGTTAATGCTCTCTTAAAAATTTAAGTTTAAGTATACGCTGAAATAATAGTGAAATCATAGAAAGAGAAATGTGTCAACGATTTTTTTTCATACTCCACACTTCACAATAGGTCTGTCTGTTCACCCAATTTTTGTAGCCTCAGCCATATGGTAAAGAGGGTACATATCATTTGATACGGCCAAAACGTGTCTCATCAAAATAATGGTTTTTGGACCCTAGGTCTCCTTTCGTTTCTTGACATTTGGAGTCGATTTAGCGATGTGCGCCAATCCATCCGCCCGTCTGTTTTGCTGGTGCAAGACTCTCGAAGGAAGTATCCGATTTGGTCCAAACTTGGTACATCGTTATATTATTATCATACTTAGATCGAATTCGGAGATGGGCAATATACTCCATTTCTACTGGTACACCCCCTCCCTACCAAAAAAGGTCAACATTTACACAAAAAATATTTTACTGCACAGAAAAAGAAAGTATAATCCGATTTTGTTTCAACTTTGCAAGTACCAATATTTGCATCAGTGCTAGGTCAGGTGCGAAAATGGACAATATCGAGCCACTCCATCAAGTACCTCCCCAACAAAGGATCAACATTTTTGAATAATCATCAATTTTCTAAAATGTGATGTAAGAGTCAGATTTTTTTCTTCAAATTATACACATCACAATATTTTTATGTAACCAAGATCTGGTGCGAAGATGGTATATTTTGGTTCACTTCTTCTGGTACCTCCCCACAAAGGGTCGAAATTTGACAAATTATAGCTGTTATAAAATGTGAAATAATAGCTCAATTGCCTTCAAATTTCACATATCCCAATATTTTTAGTAACACAAGATCTGCTGTTTAGATAGAATATATCGGCTCACTCCTTCTGGTACATTCCCACAAAGGGTCAACATTTGGAAAATCCTTGAAGCTCATAAACCGTGAAATTAACATTCGATTCCTTTCAGACTTGGCACATCTCAATATTCCTATCAACAAAATCTGTTATAAAGATGGTAGAGATCGGACCATTCCTTCTTATACCTGCCCCATAAAGAGTCAAAGTTTTGAATAACCAAAACGATAATAAAATCCGAAATAAGCCTTCGGTCTCTTCATATTTCATACATCCAATTATTTCTACTGACACAAGATCTGCTGATAAGATGAAATATATCGGTCCACTCCTTCTGGTACCTCACCAACAAAGGGTCCCATATTTTCACTACTTATGTGTCTAGGATGGTTGGTATTGGAAATGAGATATATCGGTCCACGTTTTGGTATAGTCCCAATATAACGGTAACTCCCGATATTCGGCATTTTGATGATTTTTGCCACACTTTTTCACGGATTTGTTTGAAAATTGGTATTGGTAATGGGTCCTAGTTCGTGTGGCGAAATATTGTATGCTTTGATATAGCCCCCCTTATAACGGCACCTCCCGATTTTTGGTATTTTGATGATTTTTTCCACATTTTTTCACGGATGGGTTCTAGCTCCAGTGGCGTGTGCATGTATAGGTCCACGTTTGGGTATAGCCCCTATATAACGGTACCTCCCTATATTCGGTATTTTGATGGTTTTTGTCACATTTCATCGCGGATTTATCTAAAAATTGGTATTTGTTGGCCATAATGGGTTCTGGCTGCGGTGGCGAAACATTGTATGTATCCGTCGACATTTTGGTATAGCTCCCATATAACAATACCTCCAGATATTTGGTATTTTGATGATTTTGGCCACATTTTCCCACGAATTTGTCTAAAAATTGGTATTTGTGGATCATAATGGGTTCTAATTTTTGCTTTACCCTAAAGTGGAGGGTATTAAAAGTTCGACCCAGCCGAACTTTATGTTTTTTTACTTGTTTGTTTTTTTTTTTAATAATTGCAAATTTTCTTTTTTGACACAAAAGCTGGAAACGACAGAGATTCGAGTGAGAAGGATTGGTAACTCTTTATTAAGAGTTAGAAAACTTCTCTTCCGGCGAATTTCTCTTTATAACTGTTCTTCTTATTGTCAATCAGCTGTTTTTGATTATAGATTTATTGAAACCACAAATCATTTTTTTTTTTTTTTTTGTTGTAATCGCAAACCTTGTTTTTTGTGGAATTCTTAGCAACAAAGGATATATATTTTTTTTAATTTCTGTACAACTTTATTTAGGTAGTCGAAGATAGAATATTTTTGGTAGTCATATTTGCCCGAAAAATGTTTGGCTTTTCAAAAACCAGTATCCATCAATAACATACACACACAAACAACGCTAATTTTTTTCAATGTTAGTTAACAATGGTGTTGCTTAAGTTGGCATTTTTGCATCAAATAGCTACAAATCATTTGAAAAAGCTGTTGGCTTTGACAGCAAAGATAAAAATTAAACTGTTCCTTTTGAAAAAAAAAATAATAATAATAAATGTCGTTTTGCCATTGCTTTTACAGATTGTTTCATTTAGTGTTTAATTGAGTTGAAATTTTAAATGTTGTTAAACAAATTGTTTTAAAAACCATTTTAATTAGTTTGTTTTGTTGTTCTTTTATTTAGAACAATTGCCAAAAATTTATTTATAAATGAATTTATTTAGTTGTTTTGTTTTTAGAGTGGCGGAAATGAGGTAAGGCCGAGAGAGAAAATTACAAAAAAAAATGAAAATAAATAATAAAATAATAACAACTGTTGAAAGCAAAGCCTGTATAAAATCGGTCAGATTTGTAATTTAGACTTAAAAAAATCAAATCACAATGGTGCAAAAATTACTAAACATGCGATTACACCTGATGTTACAGTCATATGTAAAGTGACTTTTTCCACAATTATCCGTATGATTTTTAAAGCATACTTTTAGAGGCTCCCCAGAACTTTTGATCTAAATGGAACTTTTAAGTATACAAACAAGTACAGAAGCAGCTAACCTCCACCTACAAATTTCAAAGAAAAAAATTCATTAAAAAATTCATGTATTTTTTGATGGAATTATTTTTTGAAAACCCGTTATGTGGAGGCTATACGAAGACGTCGACCTGCATAGGAAATGGTTCGATATAGGTTTTGGTACTAATTTCGATCGTCAAATACGAAATTTGAAATAATTCCGGTGAATAATGTCGCTAAAATCATCAAAATACCGAATATTGGAAGATACCGTTATAAGGTGGCTATACAAAGACGTGGACCTTTATATGTAATTTTTTGTCGTAGTTTGTAGTGCCCATTAAGACTTCCACATACGAAATTTGAAACAATTTCGGTAAATAATGACGCTCAAATCATCAAAATTCCGAATATCGGGAGTAATCGTTACATGGGGGCTATACGAAGACATGGATCAGCGTAAGCGATTTTTTGTCATAAGCTGTAGTACCCATGAAGATCTCCATATACGAAATTTGAAACAATTCCGGTGAATAATGTCGCTAAAATAATCAAAATATCGAATATCGGGTGAAACCGTTATGGGGGGCTATACTAAGACGTTGATCTGCATGGACAATTTTCTGTTGTAAGTTGTAGTACTGATTTCAATCTTCAAATACGAAATTTGAAACAATTCCGGAGAATAATGTCGCTAAAATCATCAAAAATTCGAATACCGGGAGGAAGCTGTAGTACCCATGAAGATCTCTAAATATGAAATTCGAAACAATTCCGGTGAAAATTGTCGCTAAAACCAATCAAATATGGAATATCGGTTGGTACCGTTATGTGGGGGCTATACAAATACGTAGACCAGCAAAAGAAATTCTTTGTTAAAACTGTAGTACCCATTACGAACTTTAAATACGAAATTTGGAACAAACCCGGTAAATAATGTCGCTAAAATTATCAAAATACCGAATATTGGGTGGTAAAGGGGATATGCGAAGACGTATTTACGAATTTACGAACTCAACCTGCCTATTGGGAAAAACATACACGCGATTGCAAAATTTTAGCCTTCCATCTCAATACGTTCGAAAGATAGCTTTGTTACAACGGACAGACAGACTGACGGACTTTGCTAAATCGACCTAGAATTTTACGCTCATCCAGATTATATTTACTTTGTAGTATTTCAAGGAGTTACAAACGGAATGACAAAGTTAATTTACCCTCCATACAATCGTGGATACTTTGGGCACCTTAAAGTATGCTCCATAAAAGTAAAATATGAAAACTTCACTTTACATATGACTCTAACATAATGTGTAATTGGGTCTTAAGTTTTCTTTTTTTATCAAATTTGACAAAAGTAGATTTCTTGTTCGACCTTATATTGGCCTTGCTTGTAACACTTGTCATAGCTCGGCTTTGCCTCTGCAAATTTCCAATGTCACAAAAATTTTTGTTTGCATTCAAAATTCTATTTTCGATGTTGCCCAGTTGCGTTGAAGGATATGTTTACATTATACACCACTAATCCATATTCTCTGTTGTTTTTTTTTTTATTTTCTGTGTCCTTCTAGATCACCGCAAACTTGGATGTATTCTTACGGCGTTTTAATGAGCTACAATATTGGATTGTCACCGAAATGGTCTCCACCTCCAGCATGAGTAAGCGCGTTGGATTACTGAGAAAATTCATCAAATTGGCCGCCTAGTAAGTTGAAATCCAAAAGGGAAAAGGGAGAGAGAGAGAAAGAGCCTGATGAAAAGTGAATGGATGAGAAAAGAGATCTCCGGAAAAAGGAGAATTTTTTTTTTTTAGATATTCTAAAAGTCGTTCTATATGACCTTCTACAGATGGAATAACTGCCACAGAAAGAACAGCTTGCACAATGGTCGCAAATCTTAGACCCTATGCAATCTTCCGACAAAAGAATTTCTATCACAAGCCTTTCCATAGACCTTCTAAATATAGAATATCTTTCAGAGAAACGATACCTTCCATAGTTTATTCATACTATATAGATGGAATACTTTGGACAGGCTGGTCTTTCAGAGATAGGTCACATTCAACTGCCAATTAATTAGCTGGAATACCTTCCACAGACCTTTTTATGTAAAATAGGCTCAGTCCTTTTACACAGAGAAGAGCTTCTCCAGGTATATGGCAGAACTTCTACAGGTCTTTCATATATAGCATATCTTCCATAGGGCTTCTACAAGCACAGGACTTCCATATGTACTAAATCCGGTATTTCACAAAAGAAATACCATCCACAGAACTCTTTTAAAAAAATACCCTTTCAAAAAGTTTTCGATAAATAGAAGACCTGCCACAGGACTTCCACAAATTCAATACCATCCACAGATATAGTATAGACAAAGAACTCCCACTTGTAAAAATTATATACAAATCTTCTATGTGTCGAAGATCCTCCACAGTTTTTTTACTGTGATAGAAGACCTTCCAGAGGTCTTAAATAGATATAAGACCTTTTACAAGTTTTTTAGAGACTGAAGACTTCTTCCAGGTTTTCTATAGTTTATAGGCTCAAAAATGTTTCTTGGATATAAGACCTTTCACACTTAGATAACCTTCGACATGAAATCCACAGACATAATATTATAAATTATGTAAGACCTTCCATATGCGACCACAGGTATTTTATGAATCAAATACCTTCTACAGGTGTTCAGTTGCGGAATCTCCCAAAAATACTTAATAAATAGAAGACCTTCCACATAAAATCCACAAACAGAATACATTCCACGGGCATTTTATAAAAAGAATACCGTCCCAAAATTATTTTATGGATAGAAGACCTTCCACATGTAATCCGCAGACAGAATACAAGCCACATGTGTTTTATAAATATGATACCTTCCACACATCTTTTAAAGTTTTAAAACAATTCAAATACAATTAATACATAGAAGACTTTCCACATGTAATCCTCAAACAGAAAACAGTACACAGGTCTTCTGAAGAGAGAAAACCTTCCAAACATATTTGATAGATAGAAGACTTTCCACATGTAATCCACCGACGGAATACAATTCACAGGTCTTTGATAACTAGAATACTTTTCACTAATTTTGAGACTTTGAAAAGAAGTACAGAATACATTCTACATTCAATCCACAGGTATTCTTCGAAAGGATAGAAGGTAGAAGGCCTTGTAAATGTAATCTATAGGCAGAATATAAATCCACAGGAGCTCTTTTTACAGTTCCAAGACCTATTGCAAAGATTGAAGACCTTCCACATTCAACAGAAGGTCTTCCACATGTATTCCACAATAAAATCAACAGATCATTTTAAAATAGAATACCTTCAAACGACCTTCTACAATTTTAAGACTTCTCGAAAATATGTCTTGGATAGAAGACTTTCATCATGTAATCCACATACCGAATATAATCCATATAGTCTTCAAAAAATATAATAGCTTCCACATTTATTTCCCAAATATAACACCTTTCACAAGTATTCTATAAACAGAAGACCTTCCACAGATAATTTCAGAACAGAACACCATCCACAGATAATTTCAGAACAGAACACCATCCACCGGTCTTCTAAAAATAAGAGACCATCTACAAGTCTTTTATAAATAGAAAACCATCCACAGACCTTTTTGAACGAAAAGCCTTACCCAGGTCTTCTAAGCACGTAGAACCCTTTTGAGATCTTCAATAGATAGAAGACATTCCAAATATCTTCTTTGAAGCAGAAAAAAACCTTCCAAAGATATATGTTTTCCACAGGCCGCTAATAAAAAATAAAAGACTATCCACAGTTCTTCGATAGGTTGACGAATTTCCACAAATCTCCTAAAGAAGAAACACCTGTAAAACATGTTCCACAGGCCTTACATAAACCAAACATCAGCAGCAGGTCTCCAACAGATAAAAAACATTCCACATGTCTTTTGCAGAAGAAAGACTTTCTACAGGACTCGATTAAAGGGAAGACCTTCCACATGCCTTCCACAGAACTCCTATGGGTGCCACAGAGATGGAAGACCTATGGCAAGACCTCTTTTAATAGGTCTTCTATAGATGGATAGATTTTTCTATTAAAGGAAGGTCCGCAGCATGTCCACACATATTCAATGCAGAGATGCTTCTCTGCAGTCCCTCTATGGATGGGAGACTTTTCATGGGTATTTTATAGTGAGAAATTCTTCTAAGAGACAATTATAAAAATATGACCTTCCCATACCTTTTTATATAGAGAACCCTAGAATGACATATTTTTATAATGGACTCTTGACGGGGTTCTCTTTATAAAAGACCCATGAAAAGTGTCCGATCCATGGAGATTCTCCGAGTCATTAAGTCGTCTCCACGGACCTTAAATAATGTGGAAGCTCCTCAACAGGTACAAAACTGTTCTTTAAGTTAAAATCTGTCTCCTATACTTCTAGTATAGGGAACCCTCTAAACCGAAAAGATTATACTTTTTATAAATAGCTTATATGGGGAAGGTCTTATAAGGATAAAAGTCCTTAGACAAGAAAAAATTATAAAGCAAAAAATAAAGGAAAATTCTCCTGAAAATCACCCCCATTGGGCTTTCCTTAAAAAAAGGATGATAAACCAAAAGACTGATAAAAATCCAGTAGTAGACAATTTTTTTCATTTCCTAAAAATAAAGCCCCCCCCCACTACCCCACTGTGCTCTCATTATTCTACGCCGTAAAAAACTCAATAACCATATCCCCGTCCCTCTCTCTCTCTGCGATTTCTTCCACATATCTGTTGTTGTATAGTTATTATTAAAAACAAAAAAAAAACTATAATTAAATTATATACTTCTTTACATAACTACCATTTCAGTTGCAAAGAATACCAAAACTTAAATGCATTCTTTGCCATTGTTATGGGTCTCTCGAATATGGCCGTGTCACGGCTGCAACAGACCTGGGAGAAAATCCCTTCGAAATTTCGCAAACTTTATCAAGAATTTGAGGCTTTAATTGATCCTAGTCGTAATCATCGGGCCTACAGGGTATTTGTGGGTAAATTGCAACCGCCCCTCATACCCTTTATGCCCCTCTTGCTCAAGGACATGACATTCGCGCACGAGGGCAACAAGACCAGCATCGATGGTCTGGTGAATTTCGAGAAAATGCACATGATGGCCCAAACGATGAGGACACTGAGATTTTGTCGTTCCAGGAGTTTGGGTGAGTACCGAAGGGCCTCTCTTAAAAGAGTTTTTTTTAATAAATTTTAATTTATATTTTCCCAAAACCAGGTCTTGATCCACCCTCCCCCAAGAGCGAGGGTGAGGTACGCTCATTTATTAGCTGCCTGCGGGTAATAGACAATCAACGAGTCCTCACAGCAATGTCACAGAAAATCGAACCAAGTCGTAAGATATAAATATTCGAATAAGAGAACTTATAAAAAAATCCAAAATTTAAAGTTAGGTGGGTAGGAGGTAACCGCATTTCGGTTACTTATTTTTCCATAGCAGTGTAGTTTATCTTTCCTCCCACTTTTCAAAAACCCCAACGTTAGAAAAACAAAAAAAAAATAAAATTACTTTGTTATATATAAAAATATGTGTTAAAAAGTCATGTTTTTTATTGATGAATTGAAAACAAAATTGTATTTAGAAGTTTAGAAAAATTCTAGATTTAAACAAAAAAAGGAATGTTTGTAAAAAAATGTTAAGCAAAAAGAAAAAAGTATTTTAAAATATTATATATGTGATAATAATAAAATAATTTATATTAATAGTATCTCTAGCCCTCTCCCTCTCTCTCTCTCTCTCTCTCATACACACACTAAATATCTCTCTTTACTTCACACATTTCAGATTGGGATGAAAAATTGTTGAACGACCTAGAAACAGATGAGAAAAGACTATCTATCTCTTAAAGAAATGAGAAAGGTCTTATGTCCTTAAAAGAAGCTGAAGCAGGTCTATTATGATGCCACGGTCGATTAATACGAGTAGAGAGCGACCATCGGCTGTTATGGCGGCCCACACCATCAACATGGCCGGCGCTTGAGCTGCATATTTTCAGCAGACCTCTTTGGCAAGCTTGTTTTTCAGTTGTTTACAAACTGCTAGACAACGAATGTTTTCGCATCGGAGAAAACCAAATTGGGCAGTTCAATACTTTCGGCCAAGCGAAGCAACTCTTTAGCTCTTTTGAGTCTATTTTTTTTTTCTGTTGCAATGTAAGTTGTTGCACTTTTTGCTCGTTTTTCAGTATTTGCCGAATGTTCAACACACGAGCCATTTTTCGTCCACTGCGACGCGGAGTCTCGATCAAGTCGCTTCTTTACTTTTCGAACCTTTTCTGCTGATGTTGCTGTTTTCTTCCGTCCACTTTCTTGACGTCGGGCTACGCTACCATTATCACGGTACGAGACACGAAAGATTCATTCACATTTAAATGCTGGAATGTCCGATACGATAACCACTTGTGGTTTTCCATCACGAATAACTTTTTTTCTGGAAAATTCTTACCAAAATGCTTTTGTAGGCTTGTAAACAATATAATGAGCTGTCCCTGCAATCATTTTAACCGCTGTCGGACGAGTAGCTTAGGAATGACAGTAGTCTGAAGTTGGTTGCAGTTTTTTCATCCAGCCCTGTATATAGACCTTCCAGAGGTCTTTAAAAGACATTTTCTCCCTCTTCAACTTGTTTCTTCTTTCAAGACCTAAGAAAAATCCCAAGTCCGATTTTTTGTGATTTGTCTAACTATGAAGTCCCTATAAATTACTGATATTTTGGAATTTCCCTGTTTCTGCTGCAATTTTCATCCCTGTGCACCAATCTCAATTTCTCTCGACTCTTTCTTTCTTCTCTTTCCTCAACTATTCATTGCAATATGCTCTCCCTCATGTCTGACATAAGACTTAATATCTCTTTACTATTGTCCCCTACATTTCTGTATCTATTCTTTTATTAATCTAACAACTATTTATCTTTCCCACTCATGTGCCCTTTTAATCTTCCCTTGAAAAAGGAACTGTACATACGAATCTAAACTCAATCCCCAAAAACAAATTAAAGACAAAAGAATGTGTTTAAAAATAGAAAAAAAAAGAAAAATTAAAAAATATATATTTTTCTAAGCTCTTTACAATTTCTAAATAATAAAATCATAGAAAAAATAAATTTAGAAAATAAATTCTCGTTATATTTATTTGTATAGAAACACTATTGTTTATGCATTTTTTTATAAATATATTTATAAAATGGACTTTTATTGCACATACATTGTTATTATCCCTATTACTCGCTCACACAATTTGTAAATTTTTTTAGTTTTTTTTTTTAATCAAAAATATTTAATTTTAATTTTATGTAAAAAAAACTATATAGCCTTAATAATTTTTATTGTTATTATTTTTTAATAAATAAAACAAAAAATATCAAATAAATATATTATATAAATTATAATATGAGTTTGTTTGTTTTTTTTTTAGTTTTTTTATACCCTCCACCATAGTATGTAGGGTATATTAAGTTTGTCATTTCGATTGTAACACCTCGAAATACACATTTTAGACCCCGCAAAGTATATATATTCTTGATAGATGATAGCATAGAATTCTTTGTCGATTTAGCGATGTCCGTCCGTCTGTCCGTCTATCCGTCTGTGGAAATCACTCTAGCTTCCGAACGAATTGAAGTAGTTTGATAAAATTTGCTCAAATGTATGTTATGTCTGCAGGACTTTTGGTATTGAAAATGGACCATGTAGATCCACGTTTTGGTATAGCCCCCATATAACGGTACCTCCCGATGTTCGGTATTTTGATGAGTTTAGCGACATTATTCACCGGAATTGATTTAAATTTGACAGAAAATTGTCTGTGCAGGTCCACGTATTCGTATAGCCCCCATATAACTGTACCTTCCGATATATATTTTGATGATTTTAGCAAATTTATTCACTGGAATCGTTTCAAATTTGATATTTAAAGTTCGTAATGGATACTACAGCCTAAGACAGAAAATTGTCTCTGCAGGCCCACGTCTTCGTATAGCCCCCATATAACTGTACCTCCCGATATACGGTTGTTTGATGACTTTAGCGAATTTATTCACCGGAATCATTTAAAATTTGGTATTTAAAGTTCGTAATGGATACTACAACCTAAGACAGAAAATTGTCTGTGCAAGTCCACCTCTTCGTAAAGCCCCCATATAAGGGTACCTCCCGATATTCGGTTTGTTGATTTTATCGACATTATAACCGATTTTTTTTTAAGTTCCACATTTGAATATTGTAATGGCGTATGACAAATGTTACCTACGCAGGTTCATGTCGTCGTATAGGCCCTAATATAATAGCTACATTCGGTATTTTTAAGATTTTAACAGAAGTTTTAACGGATTTTATTGTTTTTGAGAATTGCCAAATTCGTTTCAAATGATGAGTTCGGCCCGGCCGAACTTACAGCTTTTTTATTTGTTTTTTTTTTTTTTCAATTTTATCCTAAAGTGGGGATACATAAGCAGCTTGTCATCGTTGCATAGCATATTAATGTCAAATGGTAAGGGAAAACGACGCCAGAATTGGTATGCGACTCTGATATTCCTTTATAATTAAACCTAAACCTCAAATACAAGACCTTTGCTTTGGAAAGGCCATTTTATTACACCCATCACCTTGGAAAGGAGGGTAAATTAACATTGCCATTATCTTTGTAACATCCTTAAATATTCGTCGTGGTCCCCATAAAGTATATATATTCATAATCAGCATAAAATTCCAAGTCGATTTAACGATGGCCGTCTGTCTGTCCGCCTGTCTGTCTGTTGAAATCACGATACAGCCCACATTATTTGACGTAGAGCGTCAAAATTTAGCAAACCAATTTGTATTGCGTCTAGGATGGTTGGTATTGAAAATGAGATATATCGGTCCACGTTTTGGTATAGCCCCCACACAACGGTATTTCCCGATTATTCGGTATTTTGATGATTTTTGCCAAATTTTTTTCATGGATTGTTCTGAAAATTGTTATTTGTAGGTCATAATGGGTCCTAGTTTGTGTGGCGAAATATTGTATATATGGGTTCACGCTTTGATATAGCCCCCGTATAACGGTATCTCCCGATATTCGGTATTTTGATGATTTTTGCCACATTTTTTCACGGATTGGTCTGAAAATTGGTATTTGTTGGTCATAAGAGGTTCCAGTTCCGGTGGCGAAAGATTGCTTGTATAGGTTCACGATTTGGTATAGCCCCCATATAATGGTACCTCCAGATATTCGGTATTTTGATGATTTTTGCCACATTTTTTCACGGATTTCTCTAAAAAATTGGTATTTGTGTGTCCTAATAGGTTCTGGCTGCGGTGGCGAAACATTGTACATTGTACGTTTTGGCATAGCTCTTATATAGCGGTACCTCCAGATATTCGCTATTTTGATGATTTTTGCCACATTTCTTCGCGGATTTGTCTAAAAATTGGTATTTGTGTGTCCTAATAGGTTCTAGCTCCGTTGGCTAAACATTGGTGCACGTTTTTGTATAGCCCCATATAGTGGTACCTCCCGAAATTCGATATTTTCCCACAAATATCTCTAAAAATTGGTATTTGTGGGTCATAATTGGTTCTAATGTTTCCTTCACCCTAGGGTGGAGGGTTTAAAAATTGGTCCCGACCAAACTTTTTGTTTTTTCCTGTTTTTTAATGATTTTATTATTTTTTATTATTAGTTAAAAAAAAAATTATGTTTATTACAATAAAAAATTTGTTTTTTCGTGTGGAAATACTTAAAAAAATTGTGTAAAAATTGGTTTACCTCCATTCTATCTCTTTCGAAATAGTTTCCCTCCAATCTTTCTACCCTTTCCCATCTATAACACCCTGTGACATGTGTTATAACGATTCTGTAAATTAAATTAAATATTTCTAATTGTTTAAAATATAACTTTTTTTTTGGAATATAACAATAATTTATATGTGTAAATGTAGGTGATGTATAGAAGATGCAAAAAAAAAATTAGTAACATTTTTTATAAAATCAAATTACATTTGAAAAAACAAAAATTCACAGATAAAAACTGGAGAGGGACCTTTGTTAATTGTTAACAAAAAAATATATAATTAAATTAAAATACAAACGTATGCAAAATACAGTGCAATAATACTCCGATATTAACAAAAAAAAATAAATATTTGAACGAATTAATGTATTTTATTATAGAGCAAACAATAAATAAAGTTTATAAGTGTTTTAGTGATAGTTGTAAAAAATCATGAAAGTATAGAGGAACATTTTATGAAAATATTAATAATAATATTATTATTACAAATAATAACAATAATGATAATAAAAAGAAAAAAGAACTCCAATAAAAAAACTTATATGCCACTGTCATGTTAAATATATTGCCCTATTTTATTAAATCCTTACAATAAAGCTCAAATTGAAGGCTAATCCATTGCTAAAATGTTCCACTACAGCCTTCCTTCCTCTCAAAACCCTTTACAGAGAAAGCACTTTATAATATACTAAAATAAGATTCCTCAACCAAAAAAAAAAAAACGGGTCTCTCAAAAACTTTTTCTGCAAAACAAATAATCAAAATTTTTTCAATCCCAAAAATGTATTCTACACTCCAATACTATACCTATAACAAAATAATGAAGATATTCTTTTCAATAAAACAAAAATGGTTTCTTACTATTAAAAAAAAAACGATTTTTTTATATATTTACATATGTATGTATGTATGTACCTTATCCATTTATGTTTGAAATACAACAACAACAACAAAAAACAAATATATATTTTTATCAACAATGTTTTGTAACCATAAAACTTAAGCTCCTAAACACCAAAAAAAAAAAACATTGCAAATGCATTTAATTGCAATCTCAAAAAAAATCTCTACCACAAGAAAATTAAAAAAAAAACTTTTAAACAGTGGATCTCATTTTTTATGGAATCAGATAGAGCTTGAAACGGGTTACGGTTATATTTTTAGGTGTAGAAATTCTTATTTGTAATGTCAAAAATATCGCCCGGGGATATAAATGAAAGCTAAGAACAGTATTCTACCCCAATAGATTGTTCAACACGCCATCTATATGTGAAACACCAGTAAAGAAAGTCTTAAAGTCGGGCGGGGCCGACTTTATGATATCCTACACCACTTTGCTAATTTCGTAGAGCTGCGCATAACAATTAAAAGTTTTTATGGGAGAATTCAATCATACACGCCATGATTATAATTATAATTTAAAGTTCAAAAGACTAAATATGCCGAAGCATTTGTGTGTTTTAAATTCGGATTTGTATTATAAATTTGTATTTAAATTCGGAATTGTATAAAAATATATATGGGAGCTATATCCAAATCTGAACCGATCTCGATAAAATTTGGCAAAGATATTTCTGAGCTGTATTTGATATATTTCCCTGAATATCGTTGTTACGGAGTTCATATTACGGCTGTGGGTAACAAATATGACAAATCGGATGAACAGTATATATGGGAGCTATAGCTATATCTAAACCGATCCGATCACCAAATTTGACGTACTAGCTTCTAGACTCAATTCGGTCGTATGTGCCAAATTTCATCCAATTTAGGCAAATATTAGACGTTTGGTGCACAATCAGAGGTAAATCGGACGAAGTTATATATGGGAGCTATATCCAAATCTGAACCGATCTCGATGAAATTTAGCAAATGTATTTCTGAATACAAATATTGTTGTTACAGAGTGCATATTACGGCTGCGGTGGACAAAAATAACAAATCGGATGAAAAATATATATGGGTGCTATATCTATATCTGAACCGATTTCGATCAAATTTGGCACACTTATTTTTAGATCCAATCTGAACGTACGTGCAAAATTCCATACTATTCGGACTGATATTACACGTTTGGTGCACAATAAAAAGCAAATCAGACGAAGATAAATATGGGAGCTATATCTACATTTTGACCGATTATCTCCAATTTCAATAGGGTTCGTCCTTGGGCCAAACAAATGATTTGTGGAAAAGTTCATCTTGATAGGGCAATAAATGCGAACTGTACTTTGTTTACAAAAATACGTGGATAGACGGACGGA